GTGCTGCTGCTGCTGCTGCTGCTGCTGCTGCTGCTGCTGCTGCTGCTGCTGCTGCTGCTGGTGCTTGCAGGCAACCTGACGGAGCTGTTTGGGGAGTTTCGAACGGGGAAGACGCAGCTTTGCCACACCTTAGCTGTACGTACACTCGGCACCTCGCGTGTATAGACAGCAGCAGCAGCAGCAGCAGCAGCAGCAGCAGTTGGGTGTAGAGGCAGCAGCAGCAGCAGCAGCAGCAGCAGCACTTCACAGCGCTGCGGCAAACAGCACTAGGCAGAGGAGTGGAGTGTACAGGCAGCAGCAGCAGCGTAGCAGTATGTCCACTCAGCATATACTTGGGGTGTACACGCAGCAGCAGCAGCAGCAGCAGCAGCAGCAGCAGCAGCAGCAGCAGTTTGAGGTGTCTCGCCAGCTAAGTCGCCTTGCAGTGTCTCAAAATCTGCAAACTCCCGAACCTGCAAACTCGCCGCCTCCGCCGCTGCTGCCGCTGCTGCTGCCGCTGCTGCTGCTGCTGCTGCCGCTGCTGCTGCTGCTGCTGCTGCTGCTGCTGCTGCTGCTGCTGCTGCTGCAGGTGACTTGCCAGCTGCCGGTGGAGCAGAGCGGCGGGGAAGGGAAGTGTTTGTGGATTGACACTGAGGGCACTTTTCGGCCCGAAAGAATTGTGGCGATTGCCAAGAGATTTGGACTCGACCCCAACGACTGTCTCGATAATATTGCCTACGCAAGGGCCTACAACTGCGGTCTGCTGCTGCTGCTGCTGCTGCTGCTGCTGCTGCTGCTGCTGCTGCTGCTGCTGCTGCTGGTGCAATGCTGCTGCTGCAATGCAATGCTGCTGCAGTGCTGCAATGCAATGCAATGCAATGCAATGCTGCAATGCAATGCTGCAATGCTGCTGCAATGCAATGCTGCAATGCTGCTGCTGCTGCTGCAATGCTGCTGCTGCTGCAATGCTGCTGCTGCTGCAATGCTGCTGCTGCTGTTGGTGCTGCTGCTGCGGAAGCAGCAGCGGCCTGCGCGGTGAAAGGGAACGATGAGGAAACAGGTGGAAGTGGTCTTTTCATGTTTTGCAATTTATAATTTTTTATTTTTTAATTTTAATTTTAATTACTTATTAATAATAATTAATAATTAATTATTAATTAATAATTAATAATTAATAATTATTAATTATTTGTTATTAACTTTTTATTTTTAATTTTCAATTTGAAGAAGTGTTAATGGCATGTTTGACCGAAGAGCGTTTGCTGCGGCTTCGCCCGCAGCAACTAAATGAAATGGGCACATATAAAGCAAAGTAAAATAAAATAAAATAAAATAAAACAAAAATAAATAAAATAAAATAAAAATAAAATAAAAATAAATAAAATAAATAAAATAAAATAAATAAATAAATAAATGGTTAAATGGAGAAGTGCATGAATGGAGAAGCAAATTGCCCAGGTGACCAGTGGACCACGAAAGCTGAACTGCGCCTCATTTTGTTCATTTTTGTCCATTTTTGTTCATTTTTGTTCATTTTTTTTCGTTTTTTTTCTTTTTTTGATTCTTTTTGTTTAAAAAGATTAAATTCGATGATTCTTTTTGTTTAAAAAGATTAAATTCGATGAATCGGAACAAACTGGGTCGAATTTGAACGAATTTGCGGCGACTTGGCGGGTTTGGCGCGGATTGCCCGCTGGAGCTGCTGGCGCAGCTCCATTTGTCTCGATTTTTGTTCCTTTTTTTTGATTTTTTCTTCTAAAAGGATGAAATTTGTTGAATTAAAACAAATTGAATCAAAACAAATTGAATTAAAACAAATTGAATTAAACAAATTGAATTAAACAAATTGAATCAAACAAATTGAATTAAAACAAATTGAATTAAAACAAATTGAATTAAAACAAATTGAATTCGAAGAAAGCGGGCGCGTTCGAGTTTGCAGATCCCCCACCAGCTGTCGCAGGCGGCGGCGGCGCTGATGAGCGCGGCGCAGCAGCACTTGTGTTCATTTTCGTTCAATTTTCTTCATTTTTGTTCATTTTTTTCCCTTTTTGTTTTATTTTTTGCTATTTATCTTTTAAAATAACAAAATTAATTGAATTAGAGCAAACTTGTCGCGTTTTGTGTGCAGATCACCAGCTGGAGTTGCTGGCGCAGGCAGCCGCGATGATGAGCGAGTCGCGGTTCGCGCTGCTGGTGGTGGACAGCGCCACTGGGCTGTACCGCTCGGAGTTCTCCGGCCGCGGCGAACTGGCGGCTCGACAAAGTCATTTGTGTCGTTTTTTGCGGAGTTTGCAGCGGCTGGCGGACGTGTTTGGGGTGGCGGTGTTGGTGAGCAACCAGGTGGTGGCTCGGGTGGACGCCTTCAGCAGCAGCAGCAGCAGCAGCGGCTGCGGCGACAAACTCCCCATTGGAGGCCATATAATGGCCCATGCCAGTCAAACTCGACTTTATCTCCGAAAAGGAAGAGCAGAAAGCCGCATTTGCAAAGTCTACGACAGCCCCAGCTTGCCCGAGGGCGAGGCGGTCTTCGCCATCGGCGAGGGCGGCATCGGCGACTACGAGGAAACCTGAACCAGCTCTGTCTTTCCGCTTTTTCATCTTTTTTTTCCTTTTTTCCACCTTTTTAATCCTTGTTTTACTCTTTTCCACTTTTAAAATCCTTATTTTACTTTTATTTCTTCTTTTCCGCAAAAAAAACAGAAAAAAACGCAGGTTTCCCGGATTCTGCACTGAACGATCTCCGCCTTTTTCCGCTTTTTAAGCTCCATTTTCTTGTTTTCCACTTTTAAATCTTTATTTTCTTTTATTTCCACTTTTTAAATCTTTATTTTCTTTTATTTCCACTTTTTAAATCTTTATTTTCTTTTATTTCTTCTTTTCCAAAAAAAAACAAAAAAAAACGCAAAGGTTTCCGCCCTGTTCAACTCCGCACCGGGTTCGGAAGGCAGCTCCGTTGCGGGTTCAACTCGATGGAATTCAATTAAGTGAATTAAATTCATTTAATTCATTTAATTTAATTCATTTATTTCATTTAATTTAATTAATTTAATTCATTTAATTCATTTAATTCATTTAATTTAATTAATTTGATTCATTTAGTTCATTTCAAAGGGATTTGGCTCGGGAAACTCGCGGCGCCGGAGAAGTTGAATTCCGCAACTTCGTTCAAGTTCTGCAAACGAATTCCGAAAATTCGAATTAATTCAAATCAATTCGAAATTATAATTAAAGAATTCAAATTAATTCAAATTAATAATTCAAAATAATTCAAATTAATAATTCAAGAATTCAAATTTATTCAAATTTATGATTCAAGAATTCAAAATAATTCAAGACTTCAAATTAATTAAAGAATTCAAATCAATTCGAAATTATAATTCAGGAATTCGAAATAGTTCAAATTAATAATTCAAGAATTCAAAATAATTCAAATTAATAATTCAAGAATATAAAATAATTCAAAATTATATTTCAGGAATCCAAAATAATTCAAAATAATTCAAAAATTCAAATCAATTCGAAATTATAATTCAAGAATTCAAAATAATTCAAAATTATATTTCAGGAATTCAAAATAATTCAAGAATTCAAATTCACTCAAAATTATAATCCAAGAATTCAAATTAATTCAAATTTGTAATTCAAGGATTCAAATTAATTCAAGGATTCAAATTAATTCAAGAATTCAAATTCACTCAGATTTATAATTCAAGAATTTAAATTTATTCAAATTTATAATTCAAGAACTCAAAATAATTCAAAATTATAATTCAAGAATTCAAAATAATTCAAAATTATAATTCAAGAATTCAAATTAATTCAAGAATTCAAATTAATTCAAATTAATAATTCAATAATTCAAATTAATTCAAGAATTCAAATTAATAATTCAAGAATTCAAATTAATAATGCAAGAATTCAAATTAATTCAAGAATTAATTCAAATTAATAATTCAAGAATTAAAATAAATTCAAATTAATAATTCAAAAATAAAAATTAATTCAAATTAATAATTCAAGAATTAAAATAAATTCAAAATAATCCCTTTGACGCGGAAAGCGAAGTCGAATTCAAATAAATGCAAAGTCAATCAAGACGCAGTTGAATTGAATGCAATCAAATTAAATTAAATTAAATCACTAAATTAAATTAAATTAAATTAAATTAAATTAAGTTAAATTAAATTAAATTGATTTTAATTTAATTTAATTTAATTTAATTTGAATTGAAATTTAATTTAATTGAATTCGACGCGACTCTGCAACTGCAAGGCGAGAAACGCGGGGCTGCGCCAGCGCATGCAAATCTGAAAAAAAAATAAATAAGAAATTAAATAAATCCAATTTGGACAAAAGTTTCTTTTAAAAGTCTTTAAAAGTCTTTTAAAATGAAATTAAAGACATTTCGAATTAAAAAGAATTAAAAAGAATTAAAAAGAATTAAAAAGAATTAAAAAGAATTGAAAAGAATTGAAAAAAATTAAAAAGAATTAAAAAGAATTAAAAAGAATCAAAAAGAATTAAAAAGAATTAAAAAGAATTAAAAAGAATTAAAAAGACCCCCAGTTGCGAGCTGGCTTCCCTCCAAACCCTAAACCCTAAACCCTTGGCGCCAAACCCTAGCTGCTAAACCCTAGGCTTCAAACCCTAGCGGCTAAACCCTAGGCCTCAAACCCTAGTCGCTAAACCCTAGCCTCAAACCCTAAACCCTAGAGGGTCCGACGGTTGGGTTTTTGTGCCGCTTTTGATGAATTTTATTTCTTTTATTTTATTTTTCTTTCTTTTATTTTCTTTTATTTCTTTTATTTCTTTTCTTTTATTTTCGAATTTATATCTTTTGTTTTCAAGTCTGTTTCCTATATTTATCTCCTGTTTCTTTTCTTTTATTTTTTGAATTTGTTTCTTTTTCTTTTATTTCTTTTCTTTTATTTTCGAATTTGTTTCTGTCAGTAGCGGAGAGCCGAATGGCTCAATAAGTGGCCCAATTAAAAGCATTTTTTTGCGAAAAATAAATTGCCAAAATGCATTTCTTTTGAAGACTTCTTTGTTCATTTGGAAATGATTTATTCTTTGTTTTATATTTAATTAGAAGTGTTTTTTCCTCCATTTACTTTATTCTTTATTTAATATATACTTATTTAAGAGTAGTTAGAAATGCTTTATTATTATTTAATAATTTTTTCCAATTTTTTCAAAAACAGAAAATGCGCACTTTATGCGCAGTTCAACCAGGTGTACGTACACACTGGCGCATGCGCATGCATGCAAAGGACAGAAAATAAACATCAGTTTTTATTTATTTTCTATTTTTATTTACTTCTATTCTTATTTACTTATTTATTTATTTATTTATTTATTTATTGTTGCTTTTGTTGATAAACAGGATTTAAATTGTGGCTGCGATATATCTGAAATTCGAGGCCAACGGTCTCTTCTCTTTTATCTGCATAATTTTGATTTGTTTCTTTTTATTTGTTTTCTTTTTTGTTTCTTTTTTTTGTTCTTTTGTTTTTGTTTATTTGTCTTCTTCGTTTGTTTTCGATTTTGTTTATTCCTTTTTGCTCGTTTGTTCGCCGTTGTGTCTTCGAGGGAAATGAAACAAGGGCTTAATCGCTAGGGTTTAGGGTTTAGGGTTTAGGGTTTAGGGTTTACGGGCTAGGGTCTAAGAGGCAGGGTTTGGCTCGGCTAAGGCCCTACAGCTCCGCGAAAAAGGACGGCAGCCAGGAATTACGACTGAGAGTCTAGGGTTTAGGGTTTAGGGTTTAGGGTCTAGGGTTTAGGGTTTAGGGTCTAGGGTTTAGGGTTTAGGGCTTCTTAGATCGCGGTTGGCACTGCTGCTAACTTCGAGGCAGACGCGTCTGCTGCAAAGTTTGTTCTGGAGTTTAAAAAGGAATTTAAAACAAAAGAGAAAAGAATTTGAGGCCTTTTTGCTAAAAGACTTTGGAGAAGCAAAGGAGGCATTTCTAGTACTAAGGCGAGGGCTGCGTTGGCTGCAGGAAGGGCCCCTAAAAGGCGCTCTTTTAGCTCCCCACATGCATAACTGAGTAAAAAAAGAAAAGTTAATTAAAGAGAATGAAAGAAGTGAAGAATTTGGTGCGGAAATAGGGCGTGGGCGTGGGGTTGAGGTGTCTGTACACCGCAGCCGCTGCCGCTGCGCTGGGGCTGCGCCGCGAGGGAAAGCTGGCGAAACGAAGAAAAGGGAATTTTCTGTGGATTTAATTTTGATTTATTTGGAAAATAAATGCCATTTGCTTTCGAATGGTGTGTTATTTGCGCAATAACAAGCACAAAAAGCAGAAACTGCAGCGGCTTCCCTGCACTGGCTGAGGCGGGTCTCACCGGGGCTCGCAGCGAGTGGAATTCGAGGGGAATAAACAGTTTGGAATTATTTAAATTGATTTAATTTGAATTAAAAGTCTTTTTATTTCGAAAAACGAACTCGAAAAACCCATTTTCTGCTTTTTTCCGCTTTTTCCGACTCCGCGGCTGGCGGCGGGACTCGCGCTTGCTTTCCTCTTCTTCTTTTTCGCTTCTTTTTGTCTTTTCCAAACTCAAATTAATTCTCCAAAAGAATTCTTTTTTATTTATTTTATTTTATTTCTTTTCTTTTCTTTTTTTGTTTCAACTCCGCCGATTTCCGCGAAGATGGTCGTCGCCATCAAAGGCATTCTCGTGCAGTGGTAGAAAACAGAAATTAAAACCAAAACAATTAAATTAATTAATTGTTAATTAATTGCTAATTAATTGTTAATTAATTGTTCATTAATTGCTATTTAATTGCAGTCTTAAATTGCAATTAAATAAACCATTTGTGGTTTTAAAAGGCAAATTAAAAGCCATTTTGAAAAGCAAATAAAAATCTTCAACAGATTCTGCTTTTTGTTGAAGTTGAAATTAAAATTAAAAAAACAAAAGTGGAAATCGAAATAAATAAAAGTGGAAATTCACAAAAATTAAAAGCTCTTACTGTCACTTTGATTATTTTCATTTCATTTTTTTAATTTTGCTTTTATTTTTAATTTTATTTTCAATTTTTTTATTTTTAATTTTTTCCTTTCGATCTTCTCCTTTTTATTTTTTAGTTTCGTTTTTTTGCTTGTACGCAAATTTTCCCCCAAGACTCTTCACTGCCTCTGGCTGCTTTATCTTTTATTTATTCATTTATTTAAATATTTATTTATTTATTTATTTATTTGTTTATTGTTTATTTATATTTATATATTGATTTATTTGTTTATTTGTTTATTTGTTTATGTTCATTTGCTGCAGATTGTTTCTTTTTTGTGCGCCACTTCTTCATTCAATTCTTTGCCATTTAATCAGTTCATTTGTTGTCCCTTTCAACTTCTTGATTATTTATTTATTTATTTATTTATTTATTTATTTATTTATTTATTTATTTACTTATTTATTTGCTTATTTATTTGCTTATTTATTTATTTTTATTTATTTATTCGCCCGAGACGACCACCCCCAACTCCGTTTTTTTTCAAACAAACGAATAAACAAATCAACCACCTCCTCAACTAACGAATGAATCACTTTATTCCTTTATTTATCCATTTATTTATTTATTTATTATTTATTTATTTATTTATTTATTTATTTATTTATTTATTTATTTATTTTTGTTTTTAGTGACCCCCCCACTATGGAGATAATTCTGCAGCTGAACGAAACGAAGAATTTCATAATTGAAAAAATCAGCGAAGAGCACGTGTTGTGTTCGGAGGCAGTTTGTGGATTTTTGGAGGTAAAAACTTCAAAAAAAAAGAACTTTTGGGAGTTTTTTTGAAGACTTTTGGGCTCTAAATGCCTTTTTAAAACACTCTTTTTGTCCTTTTATTCATTTGTTCTTCTTTTGTGGTTTTATTTCTTTTTATTTTCTTTTTGTTTTGCTTTTTTTCTCAAAATTCCATCAAGTTGCGCTTTTTTGACCCTTCAGCTCGCCGTTTTAGCTGCAGATGTGTTAATTAAATTGAATTAAATTAAATTGAATTAATAAAATGATTTAACGGTTTAATAATAAACAAGTAAATAAATAAATAAATAAATAAATAAATAAATAAATAAATAAATAAATAAATAAATAAATGCTAATAAGCAGCGTTTGGAAGTTCAAAAGTTTAATTTTGAAATGTTCTTCGTTGATTTGATTGGCTTTTTTGTCTTGTGTGATTTTTTATTTCCCTTTTTGAATTCATTTTATTTTTCTTTTTATTTTAATTCATTTTTAATTTAATTTAATTTAATTTAATTTAATTTAATTTAATTTAATTTAATTTAATTTGTTTTGTCGTTTAAGAATGGCAGTCCGCGCGCGAGCTGAGAAGCAAATAACTGCTTTAACCCGTAAACCCTAAACCCTAAACCCTAAACCCTCAAGTGCATCAGTGGAGGGAAAGCAGCAGATTAAAAAGGATGAAAGAAACTAATTTTGATTACTTTCTTTTTAGCTGCTGCGCTGCAGCTAAAAGGAAAGAGCAGCAAATAAATATTATTATTTATTTGTTCATTATCTATTTTTCTATCTCTTTGTTTTTCTTTTTCGCATTTGTTTGCAAATTAATTAGTGATTTCTTTGTCATTTGATTGGCTCGTTTGAGTGGCAATTGACTCATTTCTTTGTAATGTTATTATTTATTTATTTATTTATTTATTTTTTCTTTATTATTTAATTTATTTAGTTTTGTTTTTATTTGTTTATTTATTTAGGAAGAAGTGACGAGGCGTTTGGAATTGGCTGAGCGGCCTTTGGCGGAAATGCAAAAAGAGAAGAAGGCGAATGAGGCGGGAGCTGCTGCCAATACCTACTGATTGAAAAGTAAATAAATAAATAAATAAATAATAATAAATAATAAACAAATAATATATAATAAATGAATAAATAATAAATGAAAATAAATAAATGGCAGAGTTAATTGTTTGTTCGTTTGCCCTTTCGATCCGCGACTCCTGGGGTGTATGATGAGCTCCATTCTAGAAAACGAAAAGAATTAAGTGGAAAAAGTGGATTTAAGATTTAATTTTGTTTTATTTAATTAATATTTGCAAAATGTGAATTAAAAATTAAATTATTTAACTGCATTTGGCCTTTTTGTCCTTTCTTCCCTCTCGACGCATTTCCTGCACTTACCACAGGGTGTACATACACCTCAGCTGAAAGCCATTCTTTCTCCATTCTTCTCTCAAATTGCATTTTCTGTATTTATATATACATAAGTATTATATATAAGCATATAAATACAATATATATATCTATTTTTATATATTTTAAACTAATTTAACTTTCAAAGCATTGAATACTTTCATCAAACAAAGTGACTCCTTTTCTGCGTGTGAACTGCAGCACTTTGCCGGCCTTTTGGTTTCTCGCTTACTTCTTTTTATTCGGAATTCAATTTCTTTTATTTTCGCTTTTTAATTTTTATTTTTCTGAAAAAATTAAAATGAAAATAAACTCAAAGAGACGAGACACGGGCAGGCCTGTTCGCCGTCCAGGTGTCTGTACACCTCAGTTTTACCCTCTAGTTGTTTTTTTATTTTCTTCGCCGCCCACTTTTAGTCATTTATATTTATTTGTTTTATTTGGAACTATGAAGAGCTTGAGAGCAGCAAAACGGGCAGCAGCAAAAGCAGCAGCAGCAAAAACAGCAGCAAAAGCAGCAACAAAAACAGCAGCAAAAGCAGCAGCAGCAGCAGCAGCAAAAGCAGCAGCAGTCTTTGTTCCGTTACTTGTGCTGCATTTGCTGGCACATTAAATTGTTTTATCTTTTGTCTTTTCAGTTTTAAATAGTTTTAAATAATTTTTAATAATTTACTTTTTATTAATTCATGAGAATAAACGAATTAATTGAAGACAGACAAATTATAAAAATAAAAGAATTTAGTGAAGAGTTGGAAGCACAGCGAAGTCCCATTTAATGAATTTATATCTTTAAAAAATATTTGAAAATAAAATTAATTAAAATAAATAAAATAAAATAAATGAATAACAGTGGGGCATTGGAGCAACAGCAAAAAGAACAGGAGGAGGAAGCGTCGGCGAGCTGCAGCAGCAGCAGCAGCAGCAGATGCTGCTGCTGCAGCAGATGCTGCTGCTGCTGCTGCTGCTGCTGCTGACTGTACTTTGCAGCAGCAGCAAAATGAAAAGCTTCATATGGGGAAGAACAACTAGAAAGGAATTGCTGCTGTTATGTCTTGGCCTTTTAAATGCATTTAAGAAGAATAAAAATAAAAAAAAGTGCTGCAGCAAACCTCAGAGAAAGTGTTGCTGCTGCTGCTGAGCTGCAGCAACAGCCTAGGGGCTGTGGCGGCAGCCGCTGCTGCAGTTTAGCGGCAGCAGCAGCAGCGGCAGCAGCAGCAGCAGCGGCAGCAGCAGCAGCATTTGCTGCAGTGGTAGGCCGTGTGCCTACATGGCTCGGCGAGGGGAGCCGCAGCAGCAGCAACAGCAGCAGCAGCAGCAGTGGTGTTGGCAGCAGCAGCAGTAACAGCAGCAGCAGCAGCAGCAGCAGCGGTGTTAGCAGCAGCAACAGTATAAGTAGAAGCAGCAGTGGTGTTGGTAGCAGAAGCAGTAGCAGCATCAACAGTAGTGGAGTTGGCGGCAGCAGCACTAGCAGCAGCAGCAGGGGTGTTAGCAGCAACAGCAGTAACTGCAGCAGCAGCAGCAGCAGCAGCAGTGTTATTAAGTTTTGAAAACACCAGCAGCAGCAGCAGCAGCAGCAGCAGCAGTGTTATAAAAAGTTTTGAAAACAGCAGCAGCAGAGACAGCAGGAGCAGCCGCATTAGGAGTAGCAGGGGCAACAGTAGCAGCCGCACATGCAGCAGCAGCAGCAGCAGCAGCAGCAGCAGCAGCAAAGATCTGAAGGCGGTGTCTGCTCTAAATCTTGTCATTAATGGTCTAATTGTTTTTAAAAATGTGACTTTGATTATAAAATTGATTTTAATTTCATTTAATTTTAATTTCACCCCCGGAAATGAAGCAGAAATTGCGAACTTGTTCCCCACGACCTCCTTAGGTTCTTAAAGGGGAAACGGCGGCTGTGAATGGCAGTTTTTTGTTTTATTTGATTTAAAAAGAAGAAAATAAATAAATTAAATTAATAATTAGTTCTTAAAATGCATTTAAATTCCACTTTGAGCGTTTTTTGGCGCAGAGAGCGGCTCTGAGTTCTCGGGTGTACAGACACCCGGGCTCTTGCCAGGTCTATCCAGGTGTATCGACAGCTCGCGAAAAGGCGCGTTCTGCGGGGATTTAGGAGGCAAAAAGGGGGAAGTGGAGGAAATAAAAAGAAAAAGAAGAAAAAAAGAAGAAAATAGAGAAAAATAGAATTAAACTGGAATTAATTTGATTGAGAAATGAAAGAAAACTCCCACAGTCAGCACGGATGCCCGAGCGGTTAAGGGGGCGGACTTAAGATCCCCTGGTCGTAAAGACCTCGTGGGTTCGAATCCCACTCCGTGCACTTTTTTGAAATTAAAAACAATTCATTTTAAAGTTATTATTTAATTTAGTTTTATTTAAATTAAAAATAATAATTAAATTCATTTTAAAGTTATTATTTAATTTGGTTTTATTTAAATTAAAAATAATAATTAAATGTTAGTTTTTAAATTAAAAACAATTCAGTTTAAAGTTATTATTTAATTTAGTTCTATTTAAATTAAAAATAATAATTAGATGTTACTTTTTAAATTAAAAACAATTCATTGAAGTTATTATTTAATTTAAATTAAAAATAATAATTGAATGTTAGTTTTAAAATTAAAAACAATTCATTTTTAAAGTTATTATTTAATTTAGTTTTATTTAATTTAAAACTAATAATTAAATATTAGTTTTATTTAATTTAAAACTAATAATTATTCATTTAATATTATCAAACGAATTCAATGAAGTTATTATTTAATGTTAGTTTTATTTAAATTAAAACTAATAATTATTCATTTAATATTAGTTTAATTACAGTTGAAACTGACATTTAAAAATACAATTGTTCATTTCAAATTCCAAAACAATTCATTCAAGTTATTATTTAGTATTGCTTTTATTAAAATTAAAACTAATATTTGAATTACATTTATATATTTAATATTAGTTTAATCAAAAAAAGATTAGTTTTTAAAGAACAATTATTTATTTAATGCTATTTTAATTAAAACCATTATTCAAAATGCACTTATTTATTATTGGTATGATCAAAACTAATATTTAAAAAACAATTATTTATTTAATGTTAGTTTAATCAAAACTAGTATTTCATTTCGCAATTAAAAAGAAACTTTTCTTTTATTATTTCAATAAATTGAAATTAAAATAGAACCCAAAAAATGTATTAAATAAATTCTTTTATTATTTCAATAAATTAAAATTAAAAGAAAACGCAAAAGAAATAAAATAAATCGTTGTTTATTTGTTTGCATAAAATGCCATTTAAAACATTTATTTGGAATTAAAAAGTAACTAACTAGCAAAGTATTTATTTATTTATTTATTTATTTATTTATTTTTTATTTATTTATTCAACTATTAAAATACTTAACTGATGCAACAAAATAGTAAAAATGTTTTTCCAAATATTTGAATTTCCTGCATTTCAAAACTTCCAACAAATCCCAAATATTTGCAACTAATTCACTTTTATCTTCAGAAACTGTTCAGTTATCTTTTGCTGCTGCAGCTGCTGCAGCTGCTGCTGTTGCTGCAGCAGCAGCTGCTGCTGCTGCAGCTGCTGTTGCTGCTGATGCAGCTGCTGCTGCTGCTGCAGCTGCTGTTGCTGCTGGTGCAGCAGCTACTGCTGCAGCTGTTGCTGCTGCTGCAGCTGCTACTGCTGCAGCTGCTGTTGCTGCAGCTGCTGTTGCTGCTGCTGCAGCACTTGCTGCTGCTGCTGCTGCTGCAGCAGCAGCTGCAGTTGCCCTCAGCAGAAGGCCTCCAGAACTCTTTGGGAGGAACTCTGGACACAATTTGAATTTAATTTAAAGTTTTTGAATTATTTATTTTATGTTTTCAATTTTGAACTTTTAAATTTATTTTGGATTTATATTTCTCAAATCATATCATTTAAATTCTGCTTTTATTATTCTTCTTTATTGCACTTCTTGAATTGCATTTTCTGAATTAAATTTAATTTAAATTGCATTTCTTGGTTTCTTATAAATCCAATTCTTGAATTTAATTTCTTTGATTTAATTTTTTAATTTTTTAAAATCCACCTTTTGAAATATAATTCTTGAATTGAATTTCTCGAATTTAATTTCTCGAATTTATTGAAATGCAATTTTCAGAATTTAAATTTCAATTTTCGAATTTGAATTTCAGAAATGAAATTCTCGAATTCTGCATTTGCGAAATTGAATTTCTTTAATTTTCATTTTTGAACTTCTTCGCAAATTCCCAAATTTGAATTTCCTGAATTTAATTTCTTGAATTTAATTTCTTGAATTTAATTTCTTGAATTTAATTTCTTGAATTATTTTTCTTGAATTTAATTTTTTGAATTTAATTTCTTGGATTATATTTCTTGAATTATATTTTTTGAATTATATTTCTTGAATTGTTCTTGAAATGGAATTCTTGAAATGGATTTCTTGAATTTTTTCTTGAAAAGGATTTCTTGAATTTCTTGAATTGAATATTTCGAATTACATTTCTTGAATTGAATTTCTTAATTGGACTTCTTGAAATGAAGATCTTGAGTAATATTTCTTGAACTGAAAATCTTTAATAATATTTCTTCAAGATCTTGAATAATATTTCTTGAACTGAAAATCTTTAATAGTATTTCTTGAACTGAAAATCTTGAATAATATTCCCTGAA